ATTTAAGTAATACTAATTATTAAGTTTACTTATTAATAAGTTTCAACTTATTATTGAAATATTAAAATGTATACCTAAGTAGAGCCAAAAGTGTAATAGGTAATAAAGCCCAAGTCCCTATGACTCAGCATAAAAAATTTTCAACACATAACAATCTGGTTTCATATATACCCTTACCCACTTTCCCTCCAAATCCTGGACATCATATTGTTTCATCCATACATACATCTGTTGATATTTCTAAAAGACAAGTACTTTTAAAAAATCCTAAAGTAAATAACAATTCCTTACTATCAAAAGTGCAGTCATTCAAATTTCCCCAATTGTTTCATAAAATGTTTTATAGTTTATTTGTTCAAATCAGGATCCAGAGAAGATTTGCAACTGATATATCTTTTGGTCAGTTTTTTTAAAACTTATTTTTTAATAATTTTGGACTCACATAGGAGTTGCAAAAATGAGAGTTCCCATGTACCCCTCCCTCAGTTTCCCCCAGTGACAACATCTTACATAACCACACTAAGGGTCACAACCAGGAAACTGATATTAGTATAATGCTATTAAAACTATAGACTTTAGGGGTGCCTGGGTGGGTAGTCAGTTAAGCGGCTCTTTGTTTTGCCTCAGGTCATGATCTCAGGATCCTGGGATCAAGCCCTGTGTCTGGCCCCATGCCTACTATGGAGTCGGCTTGAGATTCTCTCCCTCTGCCTCCCCCGCCCCCCTCAAATAAAATAAATAAAATCTTTTTTAAAAAAACAAACTACAGACTTTATTTGGATTTCACCAGTTTTTATATCCCCTCATTTTTTTTTTTTTTTTTTTTTTGTATATAGTTCTATGAAATTTTACAACATGTACAGGTTTATGGACTTAGAATCAGGATGCAGACCTGTGACCCAGAGAAAGTCCCCTGTGCTATGTCTTTGTAGTCACACTCTCCTCCCCAACCCTAACTCTAGCGACCACTGGTCTGCTCTCCATCACAAGTAGGGACGGACAGAACTTCCTGTGCCGTGGGCTCTGTGGAAGGCTGAGCCTGGAACACTGGTGAACACCACCCCCCCTTTACTATCACCTCCCCTGGGAACTAACTGGGAACTCACCCCAGTGGTCGGAGGGTATGCACTTAGGGGAGGGGGCAGTGTCTATCAGAGCCATTTTGGGGGTCAGGGCAGAGGGTGGTGACGTTAGTCCTAAGGCCCTTATGCACACACTCTGCCTCCCACTCCAAGGGTGCGTAGGGAGGCTGGAGGGAGGAGCACCTTGGAGCACAAGCAGGCTATGTGGTTGGACGGCTCTGATGTGTCTCCTGTTGCCTGGGTCTGTGCCCCCTGCCTTCCAGGACCACGGGGACCAGTGCAATCCCTCTTCTACACATAAGCCTGCTGGATGCTTGAAGGCAGCACCCCCCAAAAGACTGGCTACAGCTTTTTGCAGTTTACAAGGACTATCACATCCGACCCTCACAGCTCTTCTGTGGGGCACGTATTATTATTGTTGTTGTTTCTATTTGACAGAAGGAGAAACAGACTCGGAGAGAATAAACGCATTGTCCAAAGTCACATAGAATTTTAACGTAAATCCTTTTTGACCTTGTCTTCTCCTGTCACATTCCCTTGAACTTTGTCTTTCTCAAGCTAAAGGCAGTCAGCTCAATTCCTCTTATTGCCATGACATATCCCTCACTTTTTCCTCACTACCAGGATGAAAAGACTCAGGATGAGAGATCCTGCCTTCTGGGCAGGGAGGGGCAGAAGCTGAAATAGAAAATTTTCTTGGGAGAGTGAAGGGAAGATGGGCACCATCAGGCTATAGATGCTGCCAGATACCTGGGTGGGGTGAGCTGGGGGTACTGTAGTTCATTCTGGGAGGAGTGTGCAAATGAGGGGGGCTTTCCTGGCACAGGAGGGCTGGGGAGTCCCCAGGGAGAGGTCACTCTGTATCAGTGGAGTCACCGGGTACAGGCCTATGGGGGCAGGAGTGGGAAGTTGGTCCTGTAAAGGCATTTGGAATGGTGGGGCTGGAAGATACTTTTGTGGTACAAAGGGGGAAAGTAGACTTTCCCAGAGACACACAGAGAAGGGCAGAGACTTTCCCAGACACACACAGCAGGGCAGGGGCCCAGGTCTAGCCACAGCCCAGCGGCCACCTGGAGCTCTCATAGAGGAGTCATGTGCTCAGGCTGTGCGGTGCAAGAGAGTACGTCCTCAACTAGGTCCTCGATGGCTCCCGCCAAGCTTTAGAGACAGGGCCTTATTTGAACCACTTATACTCAGGACACAGTGCCTATCCTATAGGGTTCCAGCATGCCATCAGAGAGGGCAGGAGTAACCTAAGTTCACACAGCTAATATGTGGTATAGCCAGGACCTTTCTCCAGGGTCTGGGTCTTAGTCCCAGAAGGGCCTCCTGGAAGAACACAGTCTCTCTAGCCCAGACTCAGAGCCATAAGAAGAGGGTACAGGTGTTTGAGGGATTTGGGGTCATCTCTGGCTTCTTCCAACCCTTCCATCTGCCTCCCATCCCACCTGCCAGCCTGTCAGCTTGTATTAAGGCAGGCACCAGGGAGCTCTGTGGATGAGCTGGGAATTACGAAGTGCCTTCAAAATGGATCATTTATATTGCCCACAACATAAGATTCTGTGCTTTTCACTCTTCACCAGGCAAACTCCTGCCCATCCTATAAAACCCAGCTCAGAGGTACAGCAAATAACCATGTACAAACCCACAGAGGGAGTCACATCACATTCCAAAGAATCTTACAGACCATGATCTCCGACCACAATGCAATATAATTAGAAGTCAACAAGAAAAATATAAACCTCCCATAGGCTGAGAAACTAAAACCATACTTCTAAATCATCCATGAGTTAAAGAGGAAATGACAATGAAATTTTGAAATATTTAGAACTGAATGATAAGGAAAGCATGAGCAGTTTCTATTTCCTTTGTGAAGTCACAGTCTCTGGGCCCATGTGCCAAACATTTATCTTCCGTTGCCTCTCCAGCTACACTCTGCACCCTCCTCCCTCCAGCTCTAGGCTCCGGAGCGCCCACCTCTATGGGCTGCATAGACATTCCCTTGTCCAGGGCTTCCATAGGATTTACCCCCAGTCCTTTGCACCATGATTGCTCTGAGCTGGGTATGCCTGTCAAGCTTAGGCCGCAGCTCCTGTCAGTAGCCCCCCCCCTCATAGTTGCCACTTTCACCACTCCCTCCCAGCACCCCTTCAGCTCGGGGTGACAGCTTCGGCCTAGGGCAGATGGCAAAGGGCTGCTCTTGCTAGCCCTTCAGTGATATGCCACCCCTGTGGTTTCCCTGCACCCTGACTACACCTCTAAATAGTGCTTTCCTTAAACTCTCCTCAAAGGGCCCAATTTGAGTGTTCCATGTGCTTCCTGTGGATAACCCCATGCTTACAAAGTGCTCGCCAGCAGTCCCTAACCGTGTTCTCACTTCTGGATGACTGAGCTCTGACCTTATGTTATCCCTCTCTGGGTTGTCCCTACTGCTAACTTGTCAGCACCTGAGGTCAGCAACAGGGTCAGCTTCATCACCTGGTCTACTCTCAGGGCACAGAAAAGGTATTGATTAGGATATCAAACAAATGAAAGACTAAATTAGAATTCCTTCTGCATACATGAGAGCATGCGATTGTTCGCTTGTAGGGGATTTGGGACAGAGTGAAGACTCAGACATCAAGAAAAAAAGAGAGAGAGAACTTTAGACTTTAGACTTTAGACTGGGGCAAAAATAGGTGCTTAACAAAAGAATGAGGGGCGCCTGGGTGGCTCAGTTGGTTAAGCGACTGCCTTCAGCTCAGGTCATGATCTCAGGGTCCTGGGATCGAGCCCCACATCGGGCTCCCTGCTCCGCGGGAAGCCTGCTTCTCCCTCTGACCCTCCCCCTGCTTGTGTTCCCTCTCTCGCTGTCTCTTTCTCTGTCAATTAAATAAATAAATAAAATCTTAAAAAAAGAAAAAAGAATGAATCTTCAGTTCTATGAGCTGGGATTCTTAAGGATTCAGTCTGTTCTCCTGCCATCAAGCAAACAGAAGATCCAGACACAAGGAGAGCCCAGTGGGGCATCAGTGCAGTAGTAAATGCCTACCCCCCCACCTGCTCACCTGCACCCCTCCAGAGTGACTTCTGTAGCCCATCTCTCGGCCTTGGTCCTCCCATCCTAGAAGGTCTCCAGCCTTCCCTCCCATCCCAGAACAGAGTCAGCCAACTGATCTCTGGGCCGGGGGGCCATAGTGCCTTGAGTACTGGTATGGGGTATCTGTCTGCCCTCAGGGGAGGAACCTAAACTGAAAAGTAGAGAGAGCACATCAGGTCTTAAAGGTTTGGATTTGGCTGGAAGAAAGGAGGTAAAGAAGATATTCCAAACTGGGCAGAGCTGGAACAAAGGTCTTGTGGGGGGAAATGGGGTGACTTTGGGTGAGGAGTGAGGAGAATCTGACCAGCCTGAGCAAAGACCCCAGCCTTGGTCGGTCGGGGAGGTGAAAGTCTGTCACCTGATCATTTCTCAGGGCCAGTTCTTTCAGTGCTGGGTGAGGGACTCAGCTTGTTTCCCAAAGCATTCATTTACCCAGAAAACGGGCATTAAGTGCCTGCTATGTGCCAGGGACTTTGCCAGGAACTTAGGGTACAAGAGTGGAGAGGGCAGCCCCCATCCCTGACTGAGCTCAGGGACAACTGGGACACAGATGATTCTAGGAGGGCAAGGAAACCACCATTACCTAGCAGCCCCTTTGTTTCTGCTCCACACAGAGTCTGGGTCTGTACCCATTTTACAGTCGAGGAAGCTGAGGCTGCCTCGGTGGCAAAGCCCAAGGACTTTGCTGCCAGGGTCAGCTGCTCAGTCAGTCCTTTGCCCAGAGGGAAGCTGGGAGCACGCTTCGGACTTTCCGGAAAGGCGGAGTGCGTCTGTGTACTGGGAGGGGGTCCCCTTTCCCCGCCCCTTCCCCGCCCGGAGGCCGCGGCGCGGCGGGGCCCGGGAGGGCGGGGGCGGAGCTGGCGACGCCGCGGGGGCGGAGGGCGACCGCGGCCCGGCCGGGCGGCGGACAACCCAGAGAACCGGCCTAGCCGGAGGACCGGAGGAGGAGGCGACCCGGCGCGCCGGGGATGTGACCCTGCGGCCAGAGGAGGACCGAGGCGGTCCCCGTGAGTGAGCACCCGCGCCCCCGCCGGCGCACGGCCCAGCCTCGCTGCCACTTTCATTTCTGCGGCTGTCCCGGCGTGGCTCCGTCCGGAGGCGACCTCCGCCGCAAGGCAGGCTGGCCGCAGCGCTCCGTCCAGGGTCCGAGGCTCCGAGCTGCGAAAGTCGGGGTTCGGGGGTGCCGGTGTTGGAGGGGGGCGTGTCTTCGGGAGCGGAAACGTCAGGCCTGCGCCTCTGGGTCCTACGACCGGTCTGTCCCGGCAGCTGGGCGAGTGGGGTTAGGGGGTCCGGGGGCGGCCTAGGGGTGGACACGGGGGACCGAGCGCCGCTGGGCAGAGTCCCGCCTCCACTTTTCTCTTGGATCTCTGCCTTCAGGGCGCCCGCGCGCGCACACACACAGACGCACGCACTTCGCCCAGGCAGAGGCAGCATTCTGGTTTCAAACTGGGGCCAGCCCGCTGCCAAGGTCCTGGGCCAGGCCTGGGGAGTGGCAGGTGTGGCCCTGGCAGGGGGCTACATGTCAGAAGCAGGCAGGGCCACTGTGTGGTCTTCATTTGGGAAGCCCAGATGCCCACCCAGGGAGTGAGCCATCCCTGGGCACTTTAGGAGTAAAAGGACACCCGGAGTTAGGAAACGGGGGCTCAGAGGCAGAAATGGCCAGAGTTCAGGGAGGGGACAGAGGTTCTGTGAGGCAAGGAAACCCAGTAAGGGCATGGGAGTGGAAAGGGAAGAGATAAGGGACAAGTGGCTTGTATAGATTCTCCCCTGCCCTTCCTGAAGCTTACATTTTCCTGGGGAAAGACCCAGGTCTTGAAATACCCAGATTGTGGGAGTCTAGCTCACTGGTCAGGACACTCACGGTGCTGTGGGGGAATGGGGGAGGTCCAGCATGTTGGGGGAACAGGAATTAGGTTGGTCTGACTGGTGGGAACATGCTTCCCCTCTCTCTCCACTTCCCTCTTTTCCCCTTACCTCTGCCAGAACAGTGACCAGCCAGCACAAGAAAATGGCCCTTTACTCATTGTGATGGGCTGAGCCCCACCTTATCCCAGTTCCCAGTTCTGCTGTTGGAGATCCCCTGTCAGTAACTTGCTGTGTGAATGGCGGCTCCTCAGAAAGAGGGCCTCAGTTTCCCCATCTGTGCAAGAAGTGGGTTGGTCAGTTGATTTCTCAGGGCTCTTGAAACTCTAAGCTTTACTTAAAGCCTGAGCATCGACTATGTGCCAGGCCCTGCCCTAGGCGGGGGGCGGGGGGGGGGGGGGGGGGGGGAGTTGGGGGGAAACAACAGTGGCCAAAGAGCAGCCTTCCCCGCACCCAGGAGAAAGACATCTGGGTTCAGTAGAGGGGGCTGTGGGAGGAGATAGCTTTCCACCTGACCGTGTATAGTCACAGAGACTGGTGTGAGAAAACACACAGAGGCAGCAGGGTGGGGATAGATTCAGGGATCACGCAGCAGCGCCAAGGTTGGGGGCAGGTGGCAGACGGAAGTGGGCAGGAAAGATAGGGTGAGGTGATGAATGTTGGTAACTATGAGTAAAGGGGGCTGTGGAAAGGAGGAGAACCAGGAACCCCACCTAATTGCAGTAGGAATGATTTTGGAAGCACCTGCCCCAAGCAGAGTGTGGAATACAGGTGGCATGTGAAGTGTGGAAATCTCCTCCTCTGGGATCAGGAAACCCAGGATCCACACTTCTCTGGGTAGAAGTCGAGGATCAAGGAATGGATGAGATGACTTTCCACATCTTTGAGGGATTTTTTCAAGAGGACAAGATCCTGCTGGGAGACCTGCCCCTACTCCCCAAACACCTGTCATTGACTTGACCATCCCCATCCTGACCTGCCTGTTGTGCGTACAAGGAAGAATCCTTGTTCCAGACTTCTCCACTAGCCTGACTTGTTGTCTGACATGACATCTCCCTCCATCTGTCGCGTTGTTCCTTCCCCCATCCTGCCCCAGCATTATGAGAGACGTGAGAAGGTTAAGTGCTTCTGTGTCAGCTCTGAGGTTAAGGCGAGGCTTTGTTTGTGGCTGTGTTCAGCCTGAGTCTAGGGCTAGAGTCAGGACTCAGATTGACCGGGGTCAGGGCCAGGTCAGAGGTCAGCCGGGAGCCACAGCTCAGTGCTTAGCCTACGCTCAGCCTTAGCCCTCCGTCTGTGGCTAAATTCTGGTCTCAGCAGGTACCTGGGTGCACGTTTCCCAAGGACTCATACACGCCCAGGGGAGGTGAAATGACTACCACGTGAGTCTCAAACACCTGGCCTATACCTGCATGGCCCAGGACATTGTGCGGGTCAGACTCATGCTTGCTCTGGCATCCACCAGCCGTGGTGGAGCTGAAACTAGAATCCAGGACTCCTGCCCCCAAGCCTGGGGCTCTGCTGTCCCAAAGTCTGTTCTGAGTCTGGGATCCCTCCATTTGAGAGGCAAAGCAAATTTGTCTGAATTTTAGAAAGGCCCAGCTGGGTAGATGTGACTGCATTCTCCTACCTCCCGGTGCCAGGCGCATAGTAGGTACTCGCAGAACATGTATGTCAGGTGCAGGGGGAGAGGCCAGTGGCTTGTTCTGCTTTGGGGCAGGAGGAGGCTGGCTCGGCGGGGGAAGGATCTCTAGCCACTCTCAGAGGAAGTGGCCCCCATCCGGACCCGCCACATCCCCCTCTCCTCCAGCGCCTGCAGCCACACTCAGAGGCCACCCAGCTGGCCATATGAGGGCCCTGTCCTCTTCCAGGGTAATAAAAGGAAAGTACATTTTTGGTAGAAAAGTCCCTCCTGCTCCCTGGGAATCCCCGGTGGCCGGATGGACTACGGGATATCCCAGAGGAAGCTGAAGGCGGGGCCTTGCCCCTACCCTGACCCCCAGCACAATGCAGCCAGGCTCTCCCACGCTGCACCGGCTGGCCCACGGGGCGCCCCCGAGGTCATTTCATCCAGGCTCCTGCCTCCTGGCGAGCCTGCAGGAAGCCTCCACCACCTCTCTAATGGTCAATAAGAAGTCAGATGAGCACCTGTTTGGAGCCCAGGCCCAGAGCTCTGTGAGGTGCGGTGAGAGGGGAGAGGAAACAAAATGAGATAGGAGGGCTGAGGCCGCTTGGCCGGGGGAGCGAGGGTAGCCTGGAGACCGGGCAGGGGCCCTGGCCCTAGGGGATGCGGGGGATTTAGACTCCAGGCGAAGGCTGCAGAGGCTGGCCAAAAGCTGAGGGTGTGAGGGAAATGATGTGTTGGGAAGTCAAAGCCTTTTGGTGAGGACCTGACCACCACGCTCCCTCCGTGCCCTTGGTCCTGGCAGGGCATCCACAGGTCCTGCCCCTGGACACCTGGCCCTCCACCCAGCCCGGCCATGGCGCTGTGCCTGAAGCAGGTGTTCGCCAAGGACAAGACGTTCCGGCCTCGGAAGCGCTTCGAGCCAGGCACACAGCGCTTCGAGCTGTATAAGAAGGCGCAAGCATCGCTCAAGTCCGGCCTGGACCTACGCAGCGTGGTGAGGCTGCCCCCGGGGGAGAACATCGACGACTGGATCGCTGTGCACGTGGTGGACTTCTTCAATCGCATCAACCTCATCTACGGCACCATGGCCGAGCGCTGCAGCGAAACCAGCTGCCCGGTCATGGCCGGCGGGCCCCGCTATGAGTACCGCTGGCAGGATGAGCGCCGGTACCGGCGGCCCGCCAAGCTCTCGGCGCCGCGCTACATGGCTTTGCTCATGGACTGGATTGAGGGCCTCATCAATGACGAGGATGTCTTTCCCACTCGTGTTGGTGAGTGCCTCCCGGCAGGCGAGTCACACCCAGCCAGGGAGGGAGGGAGCCGCCAGAGCCCATTCTGTAGATGAGGCGTTTAGTTTGACATAGCAGTTCTGTAAGGGGTTGGGGTTGGGGGGGCGGTGGCGGGACATGATTTTCATCCCCATTTTGTAGAAGAGGAAACTGAGGCTCAGAAAGTTTAAGCATCTGCTCAAGATCAGGCATCTTGAGCTAGGACTGCCTGACTCTCAGCTTGGGACTCTTCTCATCTGAAGCTTAAATGTCCCTCCAGGAGCCACCCTGGCAAGACCACTGTGATTCTTGGAACCTTCTTGAAGAGAATGCCTCTAGGTGCTCCTAGCCCGTCACCCTGCCTGGGCTGACTGACTCGCAGCCGCCTGTTAGTTCTGACTTTTCCCTTCAGGAAAGGGAAGGGGGTGGGGATTGGGAGGGCCAGATTGTATCTGGACCTCAGAGGGGTCTAAGGGCAGAATTCTCCCTTGTCAGGCCCAAGCTCTGGGGCCTTTTCTTTATCTCAGCTGGGCAGCCTGGTGAGGGTGGCGAGAGGAGATGAGTGAAGTCACACTGGCCCTGCTTCCCCACCCAAGGGCAGCAAGAGCGGGTGTTGGCCCAGGAGCCAAGCAAGCATGACAATGTATTCATCACAGCATCACCACCCCCACCTGGCCTCCTGTTCTCCACGTTAAGGCTATGGGAATCAGAGATGGGTGGGGCAGGGTGGGCAAGCCCAGAGGGGAGAAGTCTGAATACTGAGGGAGGCTGGGCACTGAGTCACAATTCAGGGCTCACAGCCCCTCCCCATCTGGGGGCCTGTCATTTCCTGCATTATCATGTCCAGCAGTGGGCATCTGCATTTCACATAGGAGGAACTGAAGCCAACAGAGAGGGACAGTGCACTGAATCGGGGATTCAGAACTGCACCTCGGGTCTCTTGGGGTCCAGGCCCCCGAGTCTAGACGGGCAGGACAAGTCTGAGGAACCTGGGCTCGGCCTGCAAGGGCTCACAAGGAGGCAGGGCTCCACCCCACCTGAGAGCCATGAGGACCCGGATGGAGCAGGGTGGACCAGTATGGGCCCATGTCTGGGCTCTTATTCCCTTCTAGCCTTAACCCCCAGGCCTGGGACACCCCAGTGTCTGTGCCTTAACCCTGGGGATGGCTCTGCCATAGAGGAGAAGAAGGCGTAGTCACCAAGATCTCTGCCCTGAGCGCGGGGGACTGTGCTGAAATTACACCTCTTTTACAGGTGCTGGAGCCTCTCTCGGGCAGGGGGTGTGGGGTTTGTCTCTGAAGGTCGCTGCAGGGCAGTGCCCACAGGTTGGAATCCTGCCTCCAGTCTGTACTAATTGCTAGTATCGCCTTGAGCGAGTGGGGTTGCCATCATGCACCTCGACTTTATCAGGTCTAAAAGGGCTACCGTACCCATATCATAGGGGGCCGAAAGTGCAGAGGACCCAGCACAGGGCCCAGCTCAAAGATGGAAGGTTCTTTGTGTTATTGAATAGTTGAAGTGATGAGAGTTATCTGAACTAGTTCTTGAGGATTTTGTAATTCTCAGGATGCAGGATCTGGGGCCTGCTGTGTGAATGTTATGAAGAGGAAGGAGATGGGGTGGGGCTGGTGAAGGAGGTTGGGGTCAGATCATGAAAGGCTTTGAGCAGGCACCATGCTGCGAAGTTAGAACTTAATCCCGAAGACCCGTGTTTTTAAAAATGGACCAGAGATGTTGATAAACTCACCTTGGAATTATATCCAAGATATCACGGGGCAGTACCTGCACACACGCACATATTTCTGCAGGGAATCTGGGCATAACTTCCATCCTAGTCGAAGAAGGTTGGTCAGTGGCCCCAGCATGGTTGCAGAGTCCGGCTCTGGGTGATGGGGAAATGTGGGAGATGATTCGTAGTTCAGCAGGGGAGAGGCACAGTGAGATCTGTGCTTTGTTTAAAGGGGAAGTGGGGAAAAAGCGGGCCCTGGTCTCTCCGTCCCCTGCAAGGAAGTGGCCTTCCTGGGTGAAGGCTGCCTGTGGCGGAGAGGGCAGGGTTGGGCAGCAGTTCATCCCCAGACTGCTGATCCCCCCACTTCTGCTCATCACCGCCCGCTAGGAGTTCCCTTCCCCAAGAACTTCCAGCAGGTCTGCACCAAGATCCTGACTCGCCTCTTCCGGGTCTTCGTCCATGTCTACATCCACCACTTCGATAGCATCCTCAGCATGGGGGCTGAAGCACATGTCAACACCTGCTACAAACACTTCTACTACTTCATCCGTGAGTTCAGCCTGGTGGACCAGCGGGAGCTGGAGCCGCTGGTGAGGCTAGGCCCCTGCTGCCCTTCCCTCCCAGGGCTAGCCTCAGAGTTTTCAGATCCAAAGGCTACCTACTTTCAGAAAATCGAATCCCCACGTGGATAAATTAGGGGAAGGCAATTCATTGAACAGTGGATTCTGTACTTTAATACAGAATTCATTCTAGTTTCAGTTTATAGACTCAGATCTACAGCCTGGAGTTGGGGTGGTGGGTGCGGGAAGGGGCCAGATTCAGGCAGAAGAACAGCCAGGCCCCGTGGTTTGGGAAGGGACTGCCTGGTAGGTTGAGCTCTGACTGACCCCTACCTACCTTCTGTCTCTGCAGAGGGAGATGACAGAGCGGATCTGTCACTGAGCCCAAGCCTGGAGTTGTTGCCTGTCAGATGGACCATCTGAACACAGAGTGGCTGGGGAGAAGACCCTCAGGAATCTGGTGGCAGAGGAACCTAAAGTCCCTGGGACCCCTCCACACACACAAAGCCCCTGGACTTGTAGTTCTCAAGAGTCTGCCCACGTGCCCCTTGACTGCTTATCAATGGAGAAGGGGAGAGCTTAAAAGTGGGCAAATAGAAAGAAAGAAGGAGGTACATCTTCACATGAAGTCTAGGGTGGGATAGACTAGGTTTCTGCTCCAGTCCTTGACCCTTCCATGATGGTTCCCGTGCCCGTGTGGGGAATGTAGATGTGGCTGAGTGATAGCGAGAAAGGTACAAGAGTGTAAGCAAGCTGTGTGTGGAACAGCACAGATGACTGTGTGAGTGTGTGTGAGTGTGTGATTTACACTGTGGGGTGTGTCTGTAAGAGCTAGCTGCCTTAGACCCTCCTTGGCACATAGAAGGTCCTCCATAAATGCTAGGTAAATGAATGAACGGAAGGAGGGAAGGAAGGAGGGATTGGGACCACCAGACCATGACCCCTGGGGGAGTGATGACAGGTCAGTGGTCTAACCATGTGTGTAAGTGCACAAAATATGACTGTAGATGTAGTTCTTTATTTGAACCTTCAGGCTACCAGCTTCCATAAGCATGCGTTCTGGGGAGCCGTAGGGACTTAAGAAGGGACTCTTGCCCTGAGTACCTAAACCCTTGGCCCACCACAGACACAGGTTCTGATCTGCTCAGTCAGAGATGCCCAGGAACTGTCATTTCACTCATCCCTCTGCTTCTAGGAAAGCCTGATTATAGATAGCCTCCTGAGGGCTGGGAGCTATCCCTCATGTCCACAAAGGTCCTCTGGTCCTTTAATTGGGAATCATACACTCCAATCTAGCTCCCAGAATCTATAGACTTGGCTCTCAGGATCTGAAGCCCAGTGTAAGATAATCCTCCAACCCAAGGGGGTTAGTGGAACTTGAATTCGGAAACCCCGGAGACTTGTCTCCCATCCCTGGCCAGTGAAGACATATTGCTAGTGAATGGACTCTTCCAGGCTTGGAAAGCCCCCATCCTGCAAGGATCTGCCTCCTGCCCAGCCATCCACGAGACATTCCAGCTGGTTGGATAGCTGTCCACAGAGAACCTGGGATGTTCATTCAACACTCCATTACTCGGTACCGCCATGCCTAGCCCTGTGCCCAGACCCACCTCTGGGGAAACTGAGGCAGGGACGGGGCCCTCCCTCCCAGAGCCTCTACACTGGGAGGCCAGGATGGAGAGCCAGAAAGGGCCTGAGGATCATCCAGTCTCCCAGAATCATCTATGTACGTAGGAGGAAGCTGAAGCCAGGAAGAAAGGAGAGAGAAACTGTCCAAGGCCTCACAGAGAGGCTTTTGTGGAGCGAGACTAGCAACCAGGGGTCCTGACTCCCACCCCAGGGCCTGTGGATTGCTACATAGGGAGATGAGTTGCTTGTGGAAAGAGGGTTTGACAGCCCCTCTCTAGAGCACAATTGTTCCTGCTTTAAGCAAGGATTTCTAGTGAATGCCAGAGTACCCACTGCCCCACAGGTCCGCTGGGGCTGTATGCTGAGCCAAGCCTCCAAAATTATGCCCCTCTCCGTGGCCCAGCAGCTGCCTGATCTCTGAGAAAGCAGATGGGGCTCCTGGGGCCCCCATCTGGACCCCAGACCACTGCCTCTGGAGAAGTTCCCGAGGGAAACACTTACCCAGCAGCTTTGCCAGAGGCTTTGGGGTGGGGTGAGGTCCGGGGGGATCAGAGATTCCCTCAGGGAGGACTGTGGATTGGAAGATGGGTTCTAGGCTGTGGCCAGTGCTGGCTGTGGAGGGGGTGGGGAGACGGGAAATCTATTTTTGTGAAACAGAGAGAAGAGTTTATTATTGTTATTTTTGGTAAAATAAAGGAGGCAAACTAAAGCGGCACTGGTGGGAAACTGTGGTCTGGGTGCCACATGGCTCCTGGGCAGGCTGTGGGGGGAGCTGGGCCAGAATGGAGAAGGGAGGGCTTTTTGCCCTGAGATCCCAGGCCATGTGGAGGGCTGGCTGGTGTGGTCATGTCCGGCCTAGCTCTCCAGGGTGGAGACACCAAGGTTTTCCCAGGGCTCTAGGAATTCTGGACCCAGAATTTCTGGCCTAGTCCAGGAGTAGGGAGGGCTGGCCCTTGCCTTCGGGAAATTCAGTCTCTTGGGAGTGTTTCCTTGTTTCAGCTCAGGTTCCCTGGCATGGCTATTCTCATCCCACTTCCTTAGTCTGTGTGGTTTGTTGGAGCAAATGGGTTAAGGGACAGAGCAGAACTATAGCCCTAACCCTAATGACAGCAAAGGAAGCCTTTCTCAAGAAAAGGCTGTTTGTCAGGTGCTGGCTAAAGCTCAAAATGGGGGTGGCAAGGCATGGGGCTGACTTCTGAGCTTATTCCTTCAGGATACATCTGAGCCCCTTAGCGCAGGTCTTGCTATCATTCCACTGTCCCTTACCCACCAGCTGCCCAGACAAGAGTCAGCAAAGGGCCACCTAGAGCTCTTTCCTCTCCCTGAGAAGGAGACAGGCTGGCTTTGTGCAGTGGCTCTCCTGGGAGGTACAGTCCTGAGGTCTAGTCCCAGCCCAGCCCCTAAGGTACAATGATGGGCCTTTTTCCCCTCTAGACCTCGATTTCCCAGTCCGTTTCATGACCCCCAGTGTGGGAGCGAGGGACTGACTTACCTCTGAGCTCCTTCATTACTCACAGTCTGTGGATCATTCACAATCATAACAGTAATAGCTAATACTTGACTGAGTGTCAGGCACAGTTCTAAATGCTTGACATGTAATAGCCTACCAAATCAGGTTTGTCTTTGGCTAGCTGCCTGGCTCCCTTCCTAGTGCCCAGTATTCCTGCTTTCACTGCTTTAATATCTGGAAGGCCTTCCACTCTGCCGTTCCTTCTTCAGGCTCACCAGAGGAGGCCCAGCCCAGCATCCTAAAAGGTGGCCCTGCTTGCATACCTCCTATGACAGGTCACCCACTACCTCCTCAATGACTGGACAGCTCAGACTCAAAGTTCAGGCTCTGCGCTCATAGTTGTTTTGGAATACACCACGGCAGAGAAGGTAAATTTATCTCAAAACTGTGTGGCCTTAACATGAGAATGTCTAATTACATCAGGAAGACATCACAAAACTGCTTTGAGAAATTCAGAGAGGAAAAAAAAATTCAGAGAGGGATTCTCAGAGAAGACTGAGCAGAGGTAAAGAAAAAGGAGGATGTAGAAGAGAGAGCTAGGGCTTCAGCAAGCCAGAGGAAAGCAAGCAGCATTTCCCCCACCCCGTAGGGCAAAACTTGGCAGGAGAGGGTCCTGTGAGAGGCAATGTGTTGGGGGTAGAGGGACAGTTTGGTTGGGCAACCACTGCAGAAGGCTTTGTTTTCCTGTTTGTTCAAGATCCATAAAAATATTTAGAGCAGAGAATGAGGTGGAAGCAAGGCACTCTCCCCATTTTGGGGCAGAGCATCTACCTTTGAATACCCCACCACCCTTGGCCCTGGTGAACATTGTAGCTTCTTTGAGGTTTCCTGCTGCCATTCCCACTCTCCCAGCCCCAGAAGCTGTATGTAGTGCATGGTGAAGGGAGCCACAGTATAGCTGGAGGTCCAGCTGATTTGGGGGAGCCCTCCTGGAGCCCTTCCTTCTCTGAATCCTCCAGAGCCTTCATCTAGTATTAACTGAACCATGTACGTAGAGACATAACAGTTTTGAGAACCTGGATTGAAACATAGGCCTGAGAGACTCAGGACCAGCTGGCTATTTAGATATTCAGGGAACAGAGAGAGGAACAGGCCAGCATGGCCACTGAAGACATGAAGTTTGAGTGGGCCTAGAATGTGATGGGTGGGAGAGGTCAGGATATACAGGGGCTTTCGGGTTGGACTGAGGGATTCTCTAAGTGACTCAATACAGAAGCTTGGGAGAAGGCCCCCTTTCCAGCCTTCACCCAGACTGAGAAATGTAGCAAATCCCTGAATGTTCTCTCAGGTTCCAGACCTCCCATCATACAGATGAGAAGACTGAGCCCAGAAGGGGAAAAGAACAAACATTCATCAGGATGGTGGGATGGAAGTCTAAGAGGCTCTTAACTAGCAGTGCTCATCAGACCCACACAACAATCCTGAGACAGACAGGGAAGGGATATTTTACTTCCATTTCACCAAGGAGGAAACACACTCAAAGTCAGGACCTGAAACCCAAGTCAGCACTCTCATTCCCTCATTACACTTGCAGGCTTCGGCCGCCAGGAAGGAGGCGGCCAAGCAGCGGCAGGGGGCTGGTTGAAATATTAATTTAAACGCAGCTGATTTTCTCCGAGAAATGAACTTTTAAGTGTTTAATTTTGAACTACTGGGGGTAACGCTTTGCTCAAGGAAAACTCTTTGAGTAAAATGATAGGTACACAAACGTCTGAAGAAATTTTACGGAATTAGCCCTCGTTTTAGAAAAGACTGGCAGCATTTCCCCATATGCAAAAGGCACTTTAAAAATTCCATCCTGGCACACGGAAGCTCTCGGAAGCACTCGGTAAATGGTAATTACACCTGCCGCTGCTTGGCCGCCTCCCTCCTGGCCCTTCCCCGACTTCCCGACCTTCACTCGGAATGGAGCGAAGCTAAGCTCCACCCCCGCCCCAGCAATCTCCCCGCCCCAGCAATCTTCCCGCCCCTCTCTAGCGCGTCTTCCCAATTTACTTAACTCGCCCCCACTCTTGCTCGGGGCGTAGCCATCAGGGCGCATGCGCAACTCCGCCCCTCTCCGGTCGGGCCCGCCCCTCGGGTCTAGTACTGCCTCTTCCGCGTTCTCGGAGCGACCTGTCGGTGGGTGCGCGCGACCGGTCCCGCAGCTGAGGTAAAGGCGACGCAGCGAGGTATCCCTCCGAGCAAAATGGGGCGGGGGGGGGGGGTCTGTGAACGAGTCGGTGTGCCCGGGACAGGGCAGTCATGGCCTTCAGAGTGGCCCGAGGTCACGATCCGATGGTGTTGCGGAGTGACCGTCGAAGGGAACGCTTCTTTAGGGCTCTCCTCAGGGACCCCGTCTGTGACCTGGCTGGGTTCCGTCTGTGGCGAGCTCAGGACGCGGCGTGATGCCCCCGGCCGGGGCTCAGCCGGTACCTGGGGTCAGGATTAGGTTGTGACAGGTGTCCGAGGTCGGAGCTCAGTCAGTGGCCAGTGTGAAACTCAATCCCTACCACGCTGTATGGCTGGGCTCAAGGCTCACAAAGTACAACATCACGAAGAGATTTTCACATGAGGAGTTTATCATCTGTGTGCACTATCTTATTTTAAAGTTAACTGCTTTCATCCAAAAGCTCTTGACATGTGTGGGTTCGCTGTACAGTGAGGAGAGATGATGCTAGGCGTATTCTCTTATTAGGCTACCTGTCAGATGGTCAGTGGCAGATCAGAGCCCTGCGCAGGTGACACGAATGAAATGTTGGACCTGCTTGACTTTGGGTTAGGTAGTCCTGGGTTTAGCTCTCACCTCTGCCACTTCCTAGCTGTGTGCCCTTGAGTCATTTCCCCTCTCAGAGCTTCGATTTGTCTTGTATAAAAAGGGCATAATAAGGTCATTGTGAACGTTGACTAGGATTACATGGGTCATCTAGTATGGCACCCATCACAAAATGGGTGTTGAAGACATGGCAGGTGTGATTTCTAGGAACTAGGTCATTTTGGATGGGAGTACTTTAGAGAGGGCCCTGGGGAAGAGTTGAGGTGCCCTAAGTCTTGAAGCCTCCTTGGACTTTATAGTTGGAACTTACCTTGCAGAATGGGAAGGGAACTAGTGCTTTTTTTTTTTTTTTAAGATTTTATTTATTTATTTGCTAGCGAGAGAGAGCATAGGCGCAAGAGAGTGAGCGAAGAGTACAAGCAGGGGGAGCTGCAGGCAGAGGGAGAAACAGGCTTCCTGCAGAGTAAGGAGCCCCATGCGGGACTCGATCCCAGGACCCACCCGGGATCATGACCCCAGCCAGAGGCAGCCGCTCAACCGACTGAGCCACCCAGGCATCCCGGGAACTAGTGCTTATTGACCATGGCTCATGTGCCAAGCACTGCACTGGGCCGTTGATGTATATTGTCGCACTGGATCCTCAGCCATCGGCCTCAGCACCAGCCATCAGCCTGGTGCTTTCAGTCTCACTGCCCTTTGCTTCAGCCCTTTGAAAAGGGCGAGGCTGGAAGTGATGTAGAGGAGACCCAGGATTGGGTTTTCATATGGAGCTGAACCAGCTGGAGACTTTGACGTCCCCTTTCCCAGTTTCTCCCACCTCAGCTCTTCCCTTTCTGTGATCCCAGAGTCGCTTGGGTTCTTGACTTTGGGAAACCTGTTACTCTTGTGTTGTAGCAGATTTTGATGGTTAGAGGGCTGGCAAGAGAGCACCTCTTAAACTTAGATTGCATGAAGCTGAACGTTGGCAGGGAGAAGCTCTGTGAACAGGACCTGTTGGATTCCAGCACACGCTTAGGAAGTGTATGTGGTCTCCTATTACGTGGTCTCATAGTAATCTAGTAATTTGGTTCCTTTTGCATCCTTTTCAGGGGTGCCCATGTGATCTTCCTCAGACAATGTTCTCATCATGTTATGTCTCTGCTCAGAAACCTTGGCAGGCTTCCTTGCCTACTATATAGAGTCTGGACTCCTCGGCCGCATAGACAAGTTCCCCCATAATCTGTTCCCAGACATCTCTCCTGCCTTGTTTCCCTTTGTTCTTCCAAACCTGCCCTGTGCCTCAGTCAAAATAAACCAGT